AGATGCAGAAACACCACAAGGCAACAGTAAAGTATGAAATTGTGAAAGAGCATAATATCAAAACTCTATAGCAAGCCATACCTCTTACAATAAAGAAAAGTAATAGTAACATTAAAAAAAAGCATTAGACTAAATATATATCTTTTGTAGATGGTATTAGAATGGCAATACTAAGGTGAGATGAGTATTAGATCAGGATAAGTATTTTAATGTCGTAAGTCATTCCCTGAAATTCATAAATAAGTATGCAAGAGACAAATCAATTTCTGGAATGGAGGAGATGGATATCTAATGAAATTCTCAGAGAAAATTACCTTGAATTAGGATCAAAATAGATCAAAGAAATCCTTATCTTACACATCCGAATTCTTTGAACCTACAAAAGCAAAGATAAAATCAAAATGATTTTCATGTTATGAAACTTCAAGAACTTTGTCAAACCATCTAAAGAAAAGTTATTCATTATATATACCAGACTTCTGTTCACATTTTGCATATACATGGCTTATTTGGGGATAAGTAGTCTAATAAAAGCCATTTCACATATTAACCTCGGTAGAAGAAACACAGACATATTACCAAATGAAAAAAAATTAGGATTGCAAAGACAATTGTCTAAATGCGCTATTACACAGGCCTCTAATCTCTTAACATGATCCTAGACAAAAACTTGCACACTATTGTCAGATTTTGGATACTATGGAACTACATAGACCCTATGTAAATACTCATAGCCAAACAAAGTAAACAAGAGACGGAAGACAAAAGGTGAAAGAGAAAATTCTTCGAACCCAAAAACAGAAGACAAAATTTTAAGGCAAATTTTGTTTCATTCAGTTTATAAATCAAAAGATGGAGCTAAAACAATAGAAAAGAAAATCAAAGATTAAAAAAGGACCGAAATTAATCCAGCTTTGTCGTGAACTAAATAATTAAACAATTCCAAACCAGTAACTTATCACTTGAATCTAAGTTCACATAAGTAGTCAAAATCCAAATATTACCTCAGAAGATAGTGTTCATTTTTCAGGACTTGAATGAAGAACGAAAGAAGGAAATGGTGCATGCGTTCCTATAGAAGACGACATCGTCTTTCGAAGAAATGCGAGAATGATACTGCAACTACTTCTACTCTTCTCGTTAGTTAAATCCAAACAATTTCTTGCTATTGAATGAAACATGCTTTTAAATCAATCTGCACAATGATTAGTAATCATTCAACAAGCAATCAACCAATAAATTCTGATTTTTGATAGAGAGATAGAGAGATTAGTGTTGTAGATTTGCATAGATTAGGGTTGATGATAGGAAATTCATAACAAAGGCATTGAGTTGTTAAGAGAGGAATTGAATTCAAAAATAGTAGTTATTCATAGATTAGGTTTTTGGATGGTAGAGAAAAAAAGAGGAAACTTCTTAGATTTGGGGAAGACAGATACGAATGGGAATATTTTCTCAAATAAAGACCTTTTGATATATAATGATACAATTGATCAAGGAGTTTTCAATATATGGTAAGAAAAAAACAAAAAATAAAGGGTACAAATTTTTGGGTGTGTCTTTTTTGCTTTTCAACATAAGTAGATAACGTCCCACCAGCATTCAGCCAAAACTTTCGTCGTCCTCTCTCGTGCGATAACGTCCCACCAGCATTCAGCCAAAACTTTCGTCGTCCTCTCTCGTGCGATAACGTCCCACCAGCATTCAGCCAAAACTTTCGTCGTCCTCTCACGTGCCCGGCGTGTGGATTAGAACCATTCAGTCCTTCGCGCCTCGCGCGCTAGCTTCCCACCTGACCTTGCTGCCAGAATCCCATGTGCTTCTGCTGCGTTCTCTTTTTTCCCGCTGCCCTGTCTCTCAGCTGCTCTCTCTCTCTTTCTTCTGTCATTTTTGTTCGCCTTTTCTCTTTCTCTTCTTTTTTTTCCCCCTACCTTGTCTCTCAGCTGCTCTCTCTCTTTCTTCTGTCATTTTTTTTTTGTCTTTTCTCTTTCTCTTCTTTTTTTTCCCCCCCCACAACAATGTTGCTCTGGTACAAAGCTTTGTCTTCTTACCGCCCAAGGAGCTTCCGCCTTCGCTGTTGGCTGCATCGGTCTGGATCTTGTGCCGTCCGATCGCTTTTCGTCCTCCTTCGTCGCGAGCTTTCTCCTTCTTCCTTTCCAGTGAGGTCCGATCTTCTCTGTAAGCTTCCTGTTTTCCTCCCCCCTCTGGAGTTCGTATTTTTTTTCGTCCCTTGTCTGATGCCGTGCAGTTTTTTTTTTTTTGTTTCTCATCCACGATTTTCTTCTTACTGACAAAGAGGTGCCGTCTTCGTTGTTGGTTGCTGGTTTAGGATCTTGTGCCGTTCGCCTGAGTTCTCTTCTTCCTCTTTCACTGTAAGCCTTCTTCTCCCCTTCTTCTCCTTCCTGTCCAGTGGAATTGCTTTTTTTGCTGCGACCTTCTTCTGTACCCTTTTTTCCTTTGCCTGGAATTCATTTGTGCTGTGCTTTGTCCGGTGAGGTCCATTATAGTTCTTAGTGAACTGGTTGTTTGTGCTGTGGTTTGCGCTGTGTGGGGGAACCTTGTCTTTCTCTTGTGTTCTTGCGCTGTGTTGGGTTCTCTGTGCTTGCTGGCTCAGGACGGCTAGCAAAGGCCTTTTCTATGTCTCTGTCTTCCTTGTTCTGATATGTTTTTTGTTCCTTGTTTTTTTCTTATCTAAAAAAAGGGTCCTCGTCGTGTCTGCCTGGATGTGTTGAAACCGGTATCTCCTGCAAATAAAACTCTATGTCTTCTGCCTAAAAAGGCTTCCTAAAAAAAAACCTTCTTCTATCTGCCTTTCTTGTTCACGTCCGCTATTTTAGGCCCTGCAATTTGCTTGTCTTTTTGCGTTTTGTTAGTTACCAGTTTCTCGATCCTCAAATCAAAAAACTGTGGCCCTGCAATCATGCTTATCTTTTCATCTTTTCCATAAGAAGTTCCAATACCGATTATAATTTATAGTCGCCTGTGCACAATCTTTTTCTTCTATTAAATTACACCTAATAGAGTTCAATTTGTTAATATACATAGCCATGATTTAGTGGTGCAATTGCTAGCTGACAGTGTCCATTTTGATTTTCACTTTCAAGGGAGACTCCAATTTATAAAAGGCAAAAAAAGAAAGGAACGAAGTTAAGGCTTTGATGATCAAACCTTAGACCTCACAATCACTTTATTAGCGGCTTCACTAATTAACTTACATTTTTAATGTTTCAGATTTGGCCTTAAACACATATTAGAGGATTTGGTAATGGTAGTTATTTAGACAAAAGAATGATACTAATTTGTAATGCTACGGTTCATATGATATTGAATCTGGACATTTTTTGCCCCAGGTCGTAAATGTTTGGTCCGCAATTAGACTAGGCTAGAACTTGATAAACTTTTTAACTTGTCACTGTGCATATTTTGATTTTGCCTTTATAGGAACATTTTCTATATAATTGTAAATTACATTCCCAGGGAGAAAATGTTCTGTATTTTTCGCTTGTACGTTTTCTTGGCTTTTATGTTTTCTTGGCTTTCCCCCCTCCATTGCTTCATGGCATTAATCCTTTAGTATTTACAGAATTGCTTGAATTCTGTAAGGTTCTATGGGTATAGCATGCTTAATTTATTGGAGTACTTTCTGGGGTTTCAAAATTTTGAACTATATATCTAATTCACGTTCGTTTTTTGGCAGAGAGAATAATTTGAGTAGTGGAGTAGTTTACAAAACTTTGTTAATGAAAGTCAATAAGATGAGATTTGGTATGATGAAATTCTAAAAAAAAAACCAATTTTTAAAGCCATAAACAAAAAACATAAATGTGTGATTACTGGTTTTACAGAGGCTGCCATGCACACCTGCAAATAGATTACGTAATGTAACAACCATTTGAGTTCACTGCAAAAACGATGACAAATCTCAAAGTCCAGCTGTGGAAGCCTTGAAAAATGTTCATAGTAAAAAAAATATTCGCTTTCCCTTAACCTGTAGAAGTTAGCCACTTTCTTGCGTACATGCAGGCTGGAGAATATTGGTGGAAAGAATAATTTAAGGTCCTTCAGTCCACTTTTTCCTTTAGGAGCAATGCTAATAAATTAAGGAATTAGTCAAGTTTCGTTAGTTATATAGTCACAAATGAGGAAATTAATTTGAGGTTAATCTCTGCAATAAATCAAACAAGGTCACAGTTAAACAAACTCAAATTGTCCATCATCGGCGCAGTTTAAACAATGGAAACACACTTATTAGTGCCAATACGATGTCTGGAAAGAAAAGCCCAAAAAAAAAAAACAAAGATACAGAAAGGTAATCAGACTGCTTAGTCATGTGGCATCTCACCCCGCTTCTTCATCAAATAGCAAATTTCTTTCATGCTAAAGGATTAAAAACGCGCCAGTTTTTCCTAATTTTCCCGGCGGTTCCAGGCGGCACTCTTAGAAGAAATTTCTTTACAGCTTGCACTTAGCTACTGGTTCACATCTCTCTCTTTTTTTATTCTACTCAATTTGCGTGCTTTCTGTTGCATTATCAGCTCTTGAATCCTGTTGCCCATTTGGGCTATGCTTTCTTTTGCATTCTTTCGATATATTCCCGTTCTTCTAGCCCCTGATGAATTTAGCCTTTCCTCAACTTGCCTTTGTTTCCGTTTTTTATTTTTTAGATGGCCATCGAGCCTTTACGCGTCTCTGAGGTCCATAGCTCCCTGCCCCGTTGGACTTCTGTCATCCAGGTTATTGAGGCTTCTCATCTAAAAACAACCTATGCAGATTGTGCATCCAGGATGTATCGCCGCTTTGTCTTTGCTGATTCCCATGTACGTTTTCTTTTGATTCTGTTATTGTTTTGTTATTTCTCCCCGCTCCGCTGTGGTTAATTTTTCCCCGCTGTCTTTTTGTCTTGTGATGGATAGAGTGTAAAGTTTTATGTTCTTTGAGTCTTCTTACTATTTTTATGTATTTTTGTGCTTCATTTTTTCCTCTTTGTATTTCTTCTTGTTATATATATATTTTTAAATTTTTATGTTCTTTGATTTTTGTTACTATTTTTATGCATTTTTTTGATTAGTTTTTTTTCCTCTTTGTATTTCTTCCTGTTAATGGTGAATAAACTGAAAGTTGATTTTTTGAAATTTTGATATTGCAGATTTAAAATGCTCGATTTGCCTAGAGTTCAGGTGGCAAGAAAGCTTTGATTTTGATGCCCAGAGTTAGAAAGCCTAATTATACCTTTGTGTAAGGTCCAGCTCATAGTTATACATTTATTCATTTCTTGTTTCTTTCATCCGAAAAAGTTTGGGTCTGAATGAACAAGCTGACCATCCATTTTCTTTTCTTTGACTAAAGTTCCTTCATAATACCTGTTGGCTATGATAATCTCATTGATCAGATAGCCTAGATCATAACTTACCCATTGCTTCAGTATAGTATTGTGCAAAAGTATATGTAATGTGCTTCAGTATGTTAACTGAAATTGAGTTGCCAAGGGTTTCATCTTGCTTCAAACATGTAGTAAAAATCGCACTCAATAAACATAAAATACTTAATTGATAAGTGGTCCTAGAAGGATGATTACAAGTATAAACTTTCAAAAGTACTACACCATGACAGCAAGATTAGAGAGGGCAGGACTGAGGGAGTTTGCTGTGTGGGGGAAGAGGAAATGTTGCTGTAACTCTTCTTCCTAGGCTTTCCCATTTAATGTGGAATAGCTTTGCAACTCAATTGCTTGGTTAGCCTCTCTCTTTCCCTGACACAAGAAATTAATAATCTTCCCTTAAAGCTCATCCATAGTTTTGCCATCATCTTTATTAGCACTGGAAGAACTAAAACTTCAAGATCTTAACTATCAAAATGGTAGCTACTTTTTGCATAATTTTTGGGTCTAGCTGAATCCTATTCCCCTGTCTTGATGTTTTATATAGATAATTTCAGATTTTTTGTATTCTCATTTTCTGTTTCGGTGTATTTTTAGCAGTTAGAAATGAAGAGATCAGAAGTAAACATAATAGGTTTTTCACCTCCTAGAAAAAAGAAACCCTCCTCTTGTTTGGCCAAGCACTGTTCTGATAATGATATTTCTCTCCCTGTGTCCATAATTTTTCGAAACAAAGGAACCAAAAGGAACAGACATTTTCTTTTTTTCCCATCCTTGAGTTTTTGGCTTTTCAAATAATATGCCTAATAAATATGTTATGATTTTGTTGCTGTAGAGAGATACTGCTCTTCGTTTCCTGTTGCAATACTTACCAGAATATGCAAATCCAAGGTATGTTCTTGTGCATTCTCAAAATGCAGCATTCATTTGAGCTAATGAATCCTTTGCTCATAGCTAATGAATTCTTTATGGTATGTACATCAAGGGATGAATGATGATTACAATTGGTATAAATGATGTAGAACTACCTGTTTTAGTCATCCTTTAATTGTGTTTGTTTTCTTTTCCTAATTTTTGTGCCATTTCTTTTGTTTTGTTTATTTTTTGGCTTATTCTGCGATTGTTTTGTGCCACAAAGTTCAGTAATTGTTATACTCATATTTCTGTTGATTATGTAGGTTATTCTTCTGTGCTCAACAGAGGTTGTGCTGCAGCGAAGTTTAGCCCTTTTATGTTACGGGATTTGCTTGCCTGAAGTGTAGTGAATTTGGGCAATCCCTGATAAGTCACCAAAGACTGATGCAATGAACATGTTAGTATCATCTGTTAGGTCAATATCAAAGCAGCACCTGTATTAACATAGATTTGCAATTGAGTAATTAGAGCCCCTCTATCACCTGTTCTATTTGTTTTTTACTATTTTTCTTCTATAATGTAGCTTGAATGTCATGATAGAACTGTTATAGGAGGTTATTATATCAATATACAACTACTGGTCTCATTAGGGAGTAGAAAATATTGTAGTACATGCTATGATTTGTGTACAGATTTTTTCCCCATCATATTCATTACTCTTATGATGTATATTTGCAGACAATCACTCTGCCAAACTGCCAGAGAATAGTTACTCATGATTGCTGAGGTTAGTTTCCACCATGAAATGTGAATGGAATGCCAAAAAGTTAATGACTTTTGTTCTTTTTTATATATTATGGACCAATCGCAAGATTAAAATTACAGTCAGTTTTCTTTGTTTTGGTTGCTTGTTGAGTCATTCCAAATGGAATGCCAAAAAGTTTGACTTACTTTTGTTCTTTTTATATATAATGGACTGATCACAAGAGAGAAATTACAGTCAGTTTTGTGTTGGGTGCATGCTGAGTCATTCCTAATGTCTATTTTTTTGCTTTGTTTTAGATGTTTGGTGTGTTGCGATTATTACTAGTGAAGTTGCACCTGCTGACAGCCTCAAATCTTCTGTTTTCTCATGAATTTTAGTTTAATTTGGTTGATCTTGTGGAAACTGATAGAATATATATATTGCCAACAAAAATGCAATTTTTTCCCTAGATTCAAAGAAAGTTAACTGTCAAAGGTTAATGGTTGTGTTTTCATATGGCTATAAATAATGAAATTTTTTCTAAAATCACGGTCAATGTTTTGAGTATGTTTGAACTTCGTCCTTGAGAAAAAAACCAGATTTTCAATAAAATAAGTTCTTGTTGATAAGAATCCAATTTTCAATGCAGTTTTGAATTTTGTTTGAGTTTGTACCTCAGATATTTGAGTTGAATTGCTTTTGGTATTTGACATTGTGACATATGGAGGAAATTTTGTGCTTCTTGTCTATTGATTTTGTATGAAACTGAAATTCTTTGTGTGTCTATTTTTCTATTGAAGGAATAGAATTTGGATCGTTAAAAATGACGTTCTTAATGGTTGTCATGATCTTATGCATACCTTACATTGTGGGGCTGATCTTTTGCAATGGAGTCGAGAGACTAATTTACGTTGTGGGGTATATTGGCTATTTATTCTTATGCTGTTTATGATTATCCTTGTGATTTTTTGCTTCAGAATGTTGAAGTGCAGGATCATGTGGTAGAGCAGCTAAGAAGGAGGAATCTGTTGTGCTGTGTTAGGCATTCATGTAGTCTGATTAGGAGTGCGACTCAATGTTAAATTGATTATTGCAATTTTTTAATCTGTTTAGTCTTTTTCTAGAGAACAGTTTAGTAGATGTTTTTAGTTAATGTGTAGATATCATTCTTATAAAGAATTCAACCACAAATATTTTGTAGTAGTTAGGTTGTTGATTAATATGGCTCAAATGCTATTTTAGTTTGTACGTGGCTTATTTTTTTATAAGTATTTATGTACAATTTTTTTTTTTTTGCATTCTATGTTAATCTGTTTTGTGGGTGATCATTTGTAACAGCCAAAATCTTGACTTGCAATTAGTGGTTTATGTGTTAAACTACAGCCAAATAATGATTTCTAGATAAATTACTATTTTTAATACCTCATATATTATGCTTTTTGGTCAATATAAAACTGGCCAGGGCATTTTCGATTTCCATCGCGCGAAGCGCGTTTGTGCCTCCTAGTTGCTTTAAAAAACGAAGTGATTTCAGCCATCTAATTGTCAACATTTACTAATGTGCCACAACCTCACCAAAATAAACCAAATATATGGTGAAATCTGGGGCGAAATTGGAGTTGCGCTGCTGATTTGGGGTAGAATCACTATGTGCCTCATCAAAAGTGCCGCAACTGACCATATTTGTTATAGTGGATAATTCAAGCGGTAACAAATTGATTACTGATATTTATCAAGATTATAATGTTGCTATTTTTTAGTCTATAGGTTTTGATGGTTATGACAAATTTTATGAATAAACATGTAGAATTTTATATTTTTTATATAGGTTAAAATATCGTAGACGGGTGCTCCACTTTGAACTTATGAGAAGTATATTTAGATACATCAAAGAAATCATCAGCTTCCATAAAAAGGGCAAAAGAATAAATTCATTGCAAGGCTAATTATTAGAGTAAAGTTTCTTACAGAAGTCTTGTCCGAAACAAGGTCCAAAGATTGCAATTCAAAATCTGCAACAAAAGTGGCGAGGAGAAGTGTTAAGATACGCCAATCTTCCTATAGATTTTATTAGATTCTATTTAGCATTAGAATAATTTAGTTAGTAGTTAAATAAATCTTGTTATTATGATATTTATTAACCAAAGATTGTGTTAATTTGTTAACAAATATTTTAGTTAAGATTTGCTGAGTAGGAGATTATATTATCAAGTAGTTTTGTTGAGATTTTTTAAAGAATTGATAGTCCAAATGAATAACATAAGTTCATTTTCAGTTTCAATACAAGTCTTTTGTGAGCCATTTTTTCAATATTAAGGTATTGTTTCTTAGTTTATACTCCAAAAAATCAACAATGTTTGAAGTTTTCCTTTTATCCTCATAATCAAAAGTAAAATACTACAATCCTGTCCAGAAAAAAAAATTTGTTTAGACTTATTACAAATTACAACTTACAAATTATGTTAGTAACAACCAAATACTATGAATAACTATCTAAAAAAATTATTACAATTTTTATTTTAGGTTTAATCTCAAGTTGCCCCTCATAATATAGGTTCAGTAACAGGTTGTTCCCTATAATTCAAAACCTTACAAATTACCCCTTATAATCAATTGGTCAAATATGTTGGTTAAATTTTTGTGCATGTAAGATATGAAAGTATAGTCATGCTCTTCCATACATAATACTTTGATAGTTTTGTCCTTAATAAATTACGTTATTATATTTTTTTTATAAAGAATTCTATAATGATTAAGAAATGATAATACAATAGCAGGTGTAAATAATTACAGAAATTATTTTTACTAGATAAATTTTTAGTTACTTATGCTATATAAGTGTTTTTCACAACAAAATATTAATATATTTGAATATAAAAAAAATGAAAGTGAAATACTTCTTATGAGTATGCAATTTCCACTTTTTTTTATTCGTGGAAATCAAATATATATGTGTGTGTATGTGTGTGTGTGTGTGTGTGTAATTTGGTGTTATTTAACGACCCTTACTTTGGACACTTGATCTAACGCTTGCCTGACTCTTGTTGATAGTAAAACTAAAATTAAAATCATTAATACCTTTGTAAATATCATATTAATACAAATTAAACTCCAATTAAACTTATGAAATCAACCAAGTATATTAGTTAGAAATTACTATTTTACAGCATGGCTTACATAAAATTCAAATGATATTGTGTCACATAAAATAATATACTATTTTTTTGAAAATATTCAATTTTTAGCTATAACTTCTTATCATAATAAATGGAAATCAAGTATTCATATATTTTTCTTTATCTGTCCTTCTTAATAATTCCTGTTAGTCTATTGGTATTCTCTTATGAAAATTTTTTTGACTATCATGAATTATCATAAGAAAGTAAAACATTATTTAATAAAAATAATTTACATAAATTTACTTATTGCATGTACATTTATGTCATCATTTTCTACACATCATAATGTTTTTCAATAAAAAGTTATTATAACACCATCATCTTTAAAGGATAAAACTATCAAAATATTGAATGCCTTTTTAACACTTTTATACACTAAAAAGCCAACCCATGTGTTTGACCATTTGTTCGTGAGGGTGAGTGTTTAAGATTATATGGGGTAATTCCATTATGCAATCTGTTATCCAACCCATATTACAAGAGGATAATTTGTTATTAAACCTTTACTTTATTACATCTTATCATAGATCACTATTAGATTTTGCCACTCATAACATATAAGCTTGGAGTGGAGTCTTATTAACTTTGTCGACTTTTGAAATTTCTCTTTTACCCTTACAATCAAAACTAAAATAGTCCAATCTTGTTAGAAAAAAAAACTTTTGTTTAGGTTAATTACAAATTATAAATTATGTTAGTAACTATTAAATACTATGAATAACTATTAAAAAAGCTTATTATGATTTTTTATTTTATTATATCTGACCACAGAGCACTATTACATGGAATAGACATGTGGAGACTATTTTTGCCACGTCCTGCCACCTTGTTGCTAATTAAGTTGACAATTTCTATTCGTGCGATGCATAAGCAGTAAATGAAAAGAGGAATTGGAGAAAGGAAAGGAGTGGTGGCTGAGGTTTGAGAGAGAGAGAGAGAGAGAGTTTGATTCTTCCAATTTGGACTTTAGGGTTCAATGCATTGACTATTTGACATTTCTAGTTTAGTGTAGAAAAAAACCAGCAGTTCATGGTTCAATTCGGTTCTTATGGTTTTTACGATTTTGACGGTTTTGACCGAATTTTATGACTTTTGAACCTTAGACATGAATCGTACCGGAACCATGACTGGTTCACGGTTCAATCGATCGAACCAGTTGGTTCGGTTCAAGTTTCAAACCACTATTCTTTAGCATGGATGTTGGCATGTTGCACACTAGATGATTGTTATTTGCAGTTAGCTACTTGCACTAGAGTTACACTCCTATGAATCTTGATTTTACAATTTTTTGATATAGATATCAAGCTCTTATTTGTTTTGCATTATGATTGATTTCTCATTTTCAAGCTCTTATTATTTTATAATTACAATTCATTTTCTGATTTGAATGGTTTAAATGCTAAATATGAATGACTATGATTGAAGATGCGTTGTCTGAAGTTATGCCCTAAATAGAACATCAAACTCCGTAATGAAACTACGCATCCCCATATTCATAGTTTCATACATCCCAATAACACGACCTGCTCCATGCCATACTCCTTCATAGCCATACAAAATCTTTTCAGATCTTTCATATTAGTCATTTTTTTTATGCAACACTTAACTCCACAACGCACACTTGTACTCCTTATAATGTAAATAGTTGTGGGACCCATCTTAACATTTAGATTTCTAGGACACGCACACTACTAACTATGCATCATTTTAATTTACTTTCAAAATTCAAATACATGTTCTTTGGCATCTATGTTAGATGTGGCACAATCATGTGAAGGCCAGATGTATACGTGACTTGAGTATATTGTGAGTAAATGAAATTTGAATTCAAAACCAAATTTCAAATTCAAAATCTACCTTTTGAAAAGAACCATCCGCTGTCGAAAAGCAATGTCTCATCTTTAACTGGCATATGGGACCCACATGTAACCAGTTGGCTAGTAGCAGTTGACTACGTGACTAAAAGTTTCAACAGGCCACATGCCTACTCTTTTCTCCTCCTTCTCTTCCCCATTTTCCTCCTTCTCTTCCTCTCTCTTCGTTCTTCCTCCTCCCCTCTTACCCTTCCCTCTTCCTTCTCCTCTCCCTTTTCCAGTCACTTCTTGCCCCTTCTCCACCCACCCACCTAATCTGGCCCCTCCCATCCCATATTTTCCATCGCGATCTAGTCATGGCCAAATTGGGTGGGGGGAAGAGAGAGGCGGACGGTACTAGGAAAAGGGAGAGGAGGATGAAGAAGAGGGAAGAGAAAGAGGAAAGGAGAGGGAAAAGGAAGAGAGAGGAGGGGGAGGGGGAGAGGGAGGAGAAAGGATGAGAGAGGGGGTGGTAGTGGTGATATGTGAAAAATATTGTAAAATTTATATATATTTATATAAGAGGTGGAGAAAGAAAGAGGAAGGGGATGGTAGTGGTGATGGTTAGGGAGGTGGTGGTGGTGGGTGGTGGTGATAAGTGGAAAATGTTGTAGAATTTATATATATATATATATTTTTTAATTTTTTTTTGTATATTTGTGAGTTATTTTTGATGTATTATATGGATAAAGTGTTTTTAGAATTGTTTTTATTTGTGTATTACTGTAACATTGAATTTGAAAAATTAATTTTTGAAAATAGGCCAATCCAAACAGAGCCTAATAATTAAAATTATGCATGAAAGTTGTATAAAAGTGCATAATTATTAAAATATACATAGAATACTAAGTTTATATTTTTTATATATACAATAAACAAATAATGTCAACGCAATCAAACTATCAAATAAATGTTTGGTTCGCTTATAATTCATATAGTTTGACATATGACAAAAGTTTAATGAAAATATAGGATTAGGATTCTACTAGCCATCTTAAAATTTTTGTGGTTTAGGATTTACTGAAAATATATTACCAAGATGTGGTTTACTTTCTTTCTTTGTTATAGGTAATCTTTTAAATTGGTCTGTCATTTCTTCTAAATCTTTTTCAAACTTATCTATTTGTAGTACTCTGACCTTTTCTATTATCGTATCTACTTTTTTATGTAAGTAATAACCATTGTATACA